GCGTTGGGGATGAAGGTATTCCTACTGATGACATCCACTGTGGAATGGCCATTGGAAATAATGCTTGCCCACTGGTTTGGCCGTATTGTGTGTCATAATAAATTTGTCCTGGTTGAGTAGACTGCTCAACGTGCGGGCTCCAATGTGGTGCTGAAGTACGTGGTCCCATGTAACCGTAGGCCATGGATGGTGTATGAACGGAATGCCGATGCGGGTCCGGCACCACATTCCGTCGGTGCCTACTTCCCATCGATGTGGAAGGAGCATCTGAAACAGATCGTCTAGTGTGCTGCTGGTCATGAGAAGTGTCTGCACGTTCTCTCCTTTGTTGCTCTGCCTCCGTGGATGTATCGAAGGTAGTGTAGTCGATATAAACTGATTGTTGAACTCGGGCAGACAACTCAGCTACCTGATCTATAGCCATCTGCAATGAACTAGCATTTTGACCCCCACCACCGGCTAGTGGCTCAAGTATCGCAGATGAACGTATATAGTAATCCGCCTAAAGAAAATTTTGAATTTCTCAAATGTTAAGTAGAACATTAATAATACGTAACAATTCAATACATACCACTAATCTCTCGCCAGGTGATCGAGGAAAGAAGGTCTCCGGAGGCTCAATTTGAGGTTTTAATAGGTAGATAGACGCCCAAGATCTATACCACCGTAGATAAGCTGCAAGTTCTTGGTTGCCTGTCCCGTTGACTGGAGTGATGGGTACCACATAAGCCCTTCTCTCCTCCCAGATCTGGAGGTAGTCACGGTACTGCACTGTCCAATCTTGATCTGCTCGACCCCTACCATCAACGCGCCTGAAAGACTGATCCATGGGTTCAATTACAGTGGTTGGTAATCCTGAAAATTGTCTAACAACCCGATCTGGAAGGTGCCACTCTGCACGTTTCCAACTAATAAGGGGTACTTGTGCCCTCCAAATCTCTTCTCCATCATGATACTATAATGGAAGAGCAGCTAGAACTGTATGGTTATATGGGGTCATGATAACCTATAAATATGAGTCAAAAATTTAGTTACAATTATGTTGGAATAAATTTTTATTAACATAACAAGACTTTTATTATACCTGACTCATACGCAACCCATCAAACTCATCTCTATACGTCATTGTATTGCCTGCAGGTAGCTCACGTATCCTATCTTCAGCCCACCTATAAATTTGTATAAACCATTAGTTAGTAGTGAAATAAGAAAATATTTTTTTTTTATTAAAGCTTACGAACCTGCAACCCAATGGACGGCCAGCCAAGTCAATAATCTGAGGGACTCGCAGTGTCGGTCTACCAATGTACAATCGTTCCCAGGACCAAACCTGCAGTAGTGTTACACATCCCGCTATATATGTCCTTGTTGGTCTTGTAGCATGACATAGCTCCCTATAAAGATGTGCAAGAACAGCACCACCAATCGACATCCTACTGAAACTGTCTACATCCGCTAGTAGAGGTAGCCATTGTAGCGAAACATGACTCCGTGATGTATCCGAAATTAGAAAGCAGCCTATCATGAATAGGATGTATGCACGAACATGTCGTAGGAAAATCTCTGGTGCCAAATCATCATAAGACTCTCTGTAAAATGTCCAACGGAGCCAACGTAGTGGGAGCATAGATTCAATTTGTGATGAACCCATCCTAAAGGTCGCAACGTCCTGCTCATCATTGGGGTCATGGTATACTGTCTCCCTCCTGGGATGGGTCCCAAGTATCTCGTCACAGCAATTTGGCCATGTCGGCCAAATACGTCCTTGCCCAACAACATTTGGCCCAACCACTGCAGGCCCATCAATTCTAAGCCCCAGTAAAATTTGAACATCCTGTAATGTGATTGTCATCTCACCAATTGTTAAATGAAATGTGTTTGTTAATGGGCACCATCGCTCAACCAATGCCTGAATCAGGTTGTGATCCAGTCTAATGAACTGCAAATGCCTGAGGTTATGAAACCCAAGGTTAGTCAATACGTAAATCATCCGAGGGCACTGAATTGGCCACTCTCTAGCCATTCGCAGATGAGATGACGCTACCAGTGGAGAGGCCTACAAATTTCAAATTATTTAAATTTAATTAGATATTTAAGCTTGACATAAGTACAAAAAAATTATAGTTAATTATTTAACGTACATGCTCTGGGTCATGCGCTCTATGAGAATCTCCAAGTGATGCGATACTAAGCTGCACTGGAACTGTTTCTGCAGTAGTACGATGCGATGTACGTCGACCAGAACGAGCACGTCTAGAACGGTCGGCCATACCTATCAAAAATAAAATATAAATAAATCATATGATTTTAACGTTTAAATTTATTGCAGCAAAATTATAAGGTTTATAAAAACTTTACCTTGATGATGAAGGATTGTGTGGGCAAGTTGATCTATTATGGCCTATTTGTTTGCAAAAACCACAGGCTTTGTTTGATCTACTCTGGGGTTCATCCATCGTGTTACGAAACCTATTCATCCGTGGTCGGCCTGCACGACGACGAAAACTTGGTGCCATCAAAGGAATTATTCCCTGCTCTTCAGTGAAGATAGGCCATATGTCTTTCGGGGGGAACACATGGAAAACTTTGGAGTACGTATCAATATACTCTTCGACCTTAAATACTTGTGATACGAAAGCATTATGATCCCACCGCCTATGACCAGCGACTGCAACGACATGAACGCAAGGAACATGAAAAATTTGTGGTTTCAAACATGTGCACGTACAGGTGGTTGTATTTATTATCTCGACCTTGTTTGCTCGAGAAGACGTATCAATAACTTCAAATTCATTCCTATTAATCATGACTGGTTCAGGACACCGTCTAACCTCACGTTCAGCTTTTTGTAAGACAAGCATGGTGCGTGGAACAAACTTAGATTGGGCTTCCTCAACCCACTTTCCAGATTCAGCTGATCTTCTTAAAAATACTGCTACAAGGTTATAATAAATAGCCATTACTAATCCTTGAATCGGCAATCCTCGGGCTCGTTTAAGAACCCCGTTAAAACATTCAGATGCGTTTGTGGTCATGATACCATAACGATAGCCTTCATCAAATAATAGGGTCCATTTAGCAACATCGCGTTGGACCAACCAATCGAATGCCTCCTGCTTTGTCATTTTAATTTCATCCATCATTCGATTGAAATATGCATAATCGTCGGTATTCCCGGCAAAATACATTTTGTTACTCAAACCCTCACTATCTAGAGTTCCCAAACGACGGACCATCTTTTTGAAATTCTCACGTAAGTGACGAAGGCAATGCCTATGAACAGCATTAGGAAATACTTTCCTGCACCCGCGTACTAATCCTGGGTGCTTATCAGAAACGATACACAACTTCTGTCGATTAGCAACCACTGGTAAAAGTTGTTGTAGCTTCTGTAGGAACCAAATCCAAGATTCATTGCTCTCCGATTCCACCACTGCAAAAGCAAGTGGAAACAATCAGCCATTTCCATCGATGCCTACAGCTGCTAAGAGGGTCCCTCGATACTTCCCAAGCAAGAATGTCCCATCCATGCTCAGCACCGGTCTACAGTGTTGCCACCCATATATAGAAGGACCGAACGCCCAAAAAAGTGACCTGAATCGTGCAGGAGGTACGACTTGAATATTATAAACAGTGTCTGGTTGGGATAACGTTAAGGCTTCCATGAAACAAAAAATAGAATAATAAGATTGCTCGTAGCTACCAAAAGTTGCTTCAATAGCTTTTCTACGTGCATCCCAAGCCTTCATATATGATATCTTTATGTCATATTTTGACTCCATTCTAGCTATAATCTCCTTTGGCTTCATGTATAATTGTTGTCTAATTATAGGAATAATTTGTCTGCAAATAAATTTAGAGTTGCAATTATGATGTCCACTAGCCAAGATTGGGTGGGTGCATGTATGTGGTGGTCCACATGTAGATATTTTCCATAACCCACCTAACCTTTTACTCCGTGCAGCATGTAAGCGCCAAAGGCATGGACGATCAGGTGACTGATGATAAGCACAAATGACACTCAATCGGCTTTTATTGGATGTTGAATTTATAAATTGAACATTATGGAGTATTGACCAACCATTAACTGCGACTTGTAAATCTGCTTTCGTATGAAACATCTGACCTTCATACAACCCTAATGGAGTGGTTGCTTCTATCGAGCCAACAATGTTAGCACGTGGCGCGTCAAAATTTTCATCATTATCCCACTGTTGAGTAGTCCGAACTGTCTCGACAAAATCGTTATTGATGTTCATGCCATCAATCCCATCATAATTTTGTCTTGCGTGCTCTGCAATGAACTCTTCTCCATTACATCCCGTACTAGTAAATTGATCCATAGGTACGTGGGACTCCAAAATCGGGCTACCATCATTCGAAGAATTAGTACTATCGCTATTCATTGTTTCATATCCTTCATCTTCATTTTCGGAATTACGCTCCATGAAAGGCATGGAGGGGTTGATATCTTCTGGTAGTGTACGATTATTTATGTCGAAATATGATTGTTCCCCTACACTTTGTCTAGGTTGAACTCTTGGTTGCTGACCTATTGAAGTACTAGGTCTCTCCCGTACACTAGGACGACCATTTAAATCATCTTCCATAATTCTCGGAAAATCTCTAAGACTAGCCATAAATGATTCCGATGTGCGCGTTGGCCTAATACATAAAACTACAGTTAGGTGTATGGACTAGTTCAGTCAAACAGTTCAGAAATACAATGATTTTTACTTACATGAAACTTTCAACCTGTGGTGCATCATAGTGGATTGGTGAAATTTCTTCAACCTCCACATATACAACTACAGATTGTGTTCTACCCTCCATCAGCATGTACTCACAGATCTCATCATCGGTGACATGAATCGCACAGAATCCACCATTATTTCGCAGACGACATGTGAGGTTAATAGTGCTTGTTGTTGAATTTATTCTGAGTGCACGCATTATTCTTTGTTTTATCATTTCAAGGGAAATAGTGTCATCGATAAGGAGCGGTCTAATCCTACCGCCGATATAACTTGGTGTGAATTCATCCGAAATACGTAACTCTCCATTGAAATACAGTAACAATCGAGACATACTGTCAAGATAAGAAAATTTGTGTCATTATTTGATTATCATGACCATATTTTTAAGTCTTTATAAGTGTGTTATCGTCTAGTTTAAGTGACAGTATTACTCCTGTATTAATGAAAATTTAAATAGCTCTCATAACCTTTTTTATATAATTGTTTATCATGATCATGTATTAACTTTCAAATTTAAACTAGACATTAAAATTGCTCTCAACTAAAATCAGTATAGCATTAGGGTATGAATGTTTATTATTTGTTAATGTCATGTGTAAAGGTTATAGTTCAACTAGGATATATAATTAAACTATTTTAATCTCTTCTGAGTGCTTATGATTAGTTAATATTCTTTAGAGCGTTAAAATATTTTATATCACAAAATTGTGATTAATTTTTAACTTCGAAAATATCTTTATGGATTTAAAATTTTTCGGCCTACGATTCTGATAATCATATAAAAATTTAAAGAAATTAAGGAACTACACTGAAAATTTTTAAAATACAGAAAATTCGATAAACAAATAAATATTAATTTAAATATAAATAAAAATTAAACGGTCACTAATGACCTTCGATACTAATCATAATTACTTAGGAATTTAATTGGGTTAAAAAAAAACTAGCCTAATCACTAGAATTTTTAATTCTAGTTAAATTGCTGAATTTTAACAAAATACATATAAATAAAGATAAATTACAAAAAATTTTAAAATCAATTATATTCTTTGATGATAATATACTTGGTATTGTGGATGGAGGAGATGACATAAATAAAATCACTAGGTTAGGAAATAAGAAATATTGAGATTTTAATTACGTAGATGTATTAAAACTGACGTTTTTAATATTTTAATTAAAGATAACGAAGATTATGTTGTAATTTGATATATGTTATAGGAATATAATGTGATCAATTTGACATTTAGAGAATTAGAGGATTCAAACCATAGATCAAACCATTATACTATAGAAAAGAGAGAAGATTAAGAAAAAGCTTAAATGGATTTCTATGTTGCTTAAGATGTGGCTTAACTAAGATTGTTCTTTGGAATCACAACAAACTTTAACAATCATAGTATAATCCTTTGAGAGGACCAAAATGGCTCATGGAATTCATCACATAAACATAGATGATCTTGACTTATACTAGATACAATAAACCTATAATATTATTCAAGTCTCTAGTTCATGAAACTAGTGGGTACAAATTAAATTTTAATGATGTAAAAATGAAGGCCTATATTCTTCAAATATGCATATCGTTTGTTAATATAAGCACATTGTTATTCTAACTTTTGATTTTTCTTGTGTTAATGTATTTCATTATTTCGTTTATTCTTTTATTGTAAAACTTCCTTATGATGAAAATGGGCGAGATCAGATGCCCTTTGATATAATGGGAACTGAGAAATAATAATTTTTTATGAATTATGTTATTCAGTCGATTAGGTCTAGAATATAAAATATATGAATGAATTTCTATCCTTGTGAAAAAAAAATAGCTTATGATGAGGATGCTAGAAAGAACGAGATGTGTTTTCTAATATGTTTTCTTTAATCAATTTTGGTTTACTGCTTAGACTACAAGCTAGTTGATGCAACTCAATCTAATTCCCTGTTTCAGCACATGTTCAATCCCTTATTTGTATTCAGACACTAATTTAAAAGCCATTATTTTGGAAGCTATTGATTTGGTGGATTGCTGATTTCTAGTGTTAGTTCCTCGGTTATTGTTGTTGGAGTTGGTATTTTGTTGGCAATTTGGCCTGTGTTTGACTGTTGGTTCTTAATTTGCTGGAATATGTACTCCTGTACTATAGCATTGTATCTGCTTTTCTAGTGCCATTGTTCTCTTTGTGGTTTTGTATTTTGTTTCCTTAAATAAATCTGTCATGTTCTTGATATTTTACTGTAGTTGGGGGTTCATGAATCCTCTAATTTTTGTCATAGATCAAACCATTTTCAAAAATATATTTTAAACTGCAAAAGTTTGAAACACGCAATAAGAAATTCATTTTCCTAACCAAATTATTGTGAAAGCTATTCTAAACTTAAGAATATTTATAAATAAGAGAGCACAAGATTAATTATAAAACTTGATATTTTCCTAACCAATATTCTAATGCCTATTTAATTTAAAAAATATGATAAAAAAATATTCATGTGATGCTGTTGATACTCTCTTATATGAAGGAAGTCTATACCTTGGCGTGCATAAGTAGATGAGTTCCTGTGGATTCTCTTATATAATTTTACAAAACAAGTCCTCCACTTGGCTGCTTGAAATGAATTCATTTATTGGCTTTGCAAAATTTTCTGGGCCAAGATCAATTTGGCTTAGACTGAACTCGACCAAGTTAATTGGTTTGACCGACTACAGCTCTTCTTTAGATATGCATCAACTAAATAATTCTTAATTAGAGAATAAACACATTTAAATTAAGTTGATATGATTTTTATAAAATAAATAAAAAAAGCTATAATTATTTAAAATAAAATTCAGTAAATTAAATAAATAAGATAAATGAATCATTTGTAACCTAAGTTTTGTTGTTTCAGAAAGTTTAAAGTGCTGGGAAAAAACAAGATAAAAGCTGCATCTGTGCGATGGAAGATTATGATTTGTTTGGTATTATTTTTTTTATCATTTTACTCTCCAAATTACTATCATGTTTTATACAAAACTTAAAGCCACACTATTTCTTTAAGATCAACAAAAGAACTTATTGGCAACATCAACAAAAGGAACAGAAAACTTAATAGAACTACTTTACTAACAAAAAGAAAAAAATACTTAATAGAACTACTTAATCATCAAAATGCTACAACGTCTTCAAAAAGAAAAAGAATTTAAACATTCACACTAAACAAACTCAACAATACTTAATGGAACTACTTTACTAACAAAAATTAAACAAAAACAAACTAAAGAGAAATTAAAAGTACCTGCACTTCAGCGAAATACCGATAACTTCAGATGAAATAAGGTGTGCCTTCCCTACTCAACTCACGCATTATTTATAGGCGCTGCGCTCGTCTGCCCAACCACAAAATTCAATGCCTCAATTATTTCCCCACCATGACAGCGCGAAATGAACGGATCTGGTCGGGCTTTAGGACAAAGAAATCCGGAAAACAAATGCAAAGGCGACAGCTGGGCGATAAGAGATAGCGGCCTGATAAAGCAAGTGAAGAATGCGCCTAATATAACCGCGCATTCAACGAATGCGCTGACCCAATCGGCGCATTCAAAGAATGCGCCATTCTCGTCGGCGCATTCTTTGGTAAACAAGTGAAGAATGCGCCTAATATAACCGCGTATTCAAAGAATGCGCTGACCAAATCGGCGCATTCAAAGAATGCGCCATTCTGTTCGGCGTATTCTTTGAATGCGCCAATCCTTTTGGCATATTTGCTGCTTTT